CCTTCATGTTCAGTTAAAGGAGAATATTTTTTTAGTTTGTCAGAGATGAATGTGGCTTTTATCTCGTGTTTAAAGAACCCTACTGTTTCTGTTTATTTGGCTGAAATGCAGTATATATGGTAATTCCTAAGCCTCTTCTAATTGTAAAGTATGCTTTCACCCATGTTCTGCTCTGTGTCTGCTTGTAGCAGTGTTACAGAACTGATACTCTCTTGAGGGGGGAATCTGCACATCATTAGCATGAACAAAGGAAATATACATTACAAAAGGAGTATTCACCTTTTTGGCTAAGGATGGCATAACAGAATTCTCAAGGTTCATTACTTATTCTGGTACAACAGCCCAAGAATATTATTTTCCAAAGTTGGCCATCTTTATCTGGGCCTCACAGAAGGTAGTAACTCTTGCATGTCTATTTTATGAGTGAGTTTTCTATCATTTACTCTGTGTGTAAAATTTAACTTGTAATTTACAAGTAGTTTACAAGCCCTCACTGAAGTCTAGCATGCTGTTGAAATAAAATGCTTTCCTGTCAACAATTAGTCTATTAAAAAATTACAGTTGCTGTGAAACTGATAATGTGAACAACCTTTGATAACGGGTGGTTATATTCTTTCTGTAGGTTTGGCAGTTTTCCACTAATGGACCGGTGTTCTCATCTCCATGCATCTCAAGTTTAACTAAGCAAGAAATATTTTTTGGCTCCCATGATTGCTTTATCTACTGTTGTAACATGGAGGGTAATTTACTGTGGAAATTTAAAGCCTCTTCAAGTGTGTATGGAACACCATTCGTTTTCCAAAGTGATGACTTAAAGAACAAAATTCTTTTGGCAGCAATATCTACAGATGGCAAAGTGTGGATCCTGAATGCCAAGAGTGGAACAGCAGAAGGAGTAGATAAGCTTCCAGGAGAGGTTTTCTCTTCCCCTGTAGTGTGGGGAACAAAGCTTGTTGTCGGCTGTAGAAATGATTATGTTTATTGCCTAGATTTGTATATACAGGAAAAAAAGAACAGCTAAGATGTTAGGCTGCTTCCTTTTTATTGTTTACATTGTAAACTAAAAACTCACAGGTCCTCTCTACCTCTCTGTCTATTTTACTGTAGGCAAGAGGTGCCCTTTGCAGACTTCCCAGGTAGCATTTTTCAGAAGGCAGTGTCCAGTGTACGTATCACTCTACTGATTGATGGCTGCTCAGCACCAAGCCAGAAGTTTCACTGTCCCTCCCTCATGTTCCAGCTACAATTAATGAAATAACATGTTTCAGATGGTTTGGATTTGAATGTTGTGCTTTGGCCCATGTTATGAGAAAAAGTAAGTCAGTAGTTTGGCTTCAACTTGCAGGGTTGGGAGAAACTGTGGTAACGTGCCATACTCTGCAGCTTGGAATAACATGCTTGTCTCCCTGAGGGAGGAATGTATTCCTCTGAGTCCAGCCTAGCCTGTGCCTGGCTCTTCCATGCATCAGACTGGTGTTTGTCTAGTCTGATGAGGTTTCTGTGCTGTGACAAGGTACCTCAAGTCCTTTTTTGAATCTTAACTTTCAGCTTGATTTCTGAAGACATAGCCTGCATTGTATATGCCTGGCAGTAGTGACCTGGTTGCTACAGTATGTTTAAACTGACTAGTTCGTCTTTTGTGAGCCTAGGCCCTCCTTGGCTTCTATTCAGTCAAGCATATATCGAAACTCCATTGAAGCCAGCAGGAGTTTCTTCTTGTATTCTAAAGTACAGAATGTAGCTACATGTGTATATTTATTAAATTTCAATTACGGGTACAGTCTGGTTTCCAAGATGAAGTGTGCATAACTCAAATCAACCATTGTCAGTTTTTTAGGGGATCTGAATAAATGCTTGCTACAGTGTCTTTGCAAGAGAACTATTAATAAAAGGTCATGTAAATTCAGTTTGGTTGTCTTTAACACCTTAAATTAATTACCTGGTATTAGTAATGCAAATCAAGTATTTGCAGTGACAGAAGTACACATAACTGAGAGCATCTTTCTAACTATGAGTCTTCTAGAAGAACTGTAGTAGAAACTATTACCTCACTCTCTGATGAGCCATCTATTTTGAATTCCAGTTCCTTGGCAGAAATGCTTAGGCAAGACACTTGTAGCACTGTGAAAAGTTGTCTTTATAAAGCAAACCTGAACTACGAGATTTGCAAAAGGAGACACAGAATACATACATCAATTAGATAATTTTGACTGGGTTATAGTTTAATAAGAATTAAAATGACATTAGTATAATAAACAATTGCACTTTAAAACATTTGAAAAATTAAAAAAGTACACAACAAATACCCCACAATTATACATCTTATAGTTTTTATACATTACTATATGAACATAGAGGTTAATCATATATAACCTTGTCAGAAGAAATGGTATTTTGTGTGTGTAAGTTACAAAAAATTGAGACAATATACTACATAGTGGTTTGTTTGGTTCTTAAAACAGTTTTGCTGTTTTAAACTCTGTAGTAATGTTTTGGTTTTATTTTTACAGATTTCCAACACTTTATCAGAAATGGTTGCAACAAAGCCAAAGCAAAGTAACACTTCATTGGTATTTAGTGCAAAATTTTGTTAACATGAAATGTCACTGTTGAACATGTACACTTTAGAAATGTTTCCATCAAATACTGTACATAATACAGTTTCCATTATTACACTAGATACCTTTATGGTTGAAAAAAACTCTGCTTTGAAGCTTTAGATTAAGACAACCCTTAATGAAAGCTCTATTCTATGTGCTATAAATGTATTGTATTGGAAAATTGCATCCTCATGTCATGCACAATAGCACCTAATTTTGCTATGCTTTTCAGAATACCAGTATCTTTAATCCTTTAATCCTGATTTACTTCACCTTCTCTATATTTCTGCCTGGCTCCTTCTCCCAGGAAATAATTACTAAGATGGATTTCAGGCAGTTTATTTCTTGTGATTACAAATGCATACTGCAGGCTTATAAACTCAGAAGAAGTGTAAATTTAACTTAAGATACGCTAATTCATGGTGCTAGCAGAGCAAAAAAAAAGATTATGGTCAAGATTAATTCTTCAGATAAGCTTGCAGAGATTTGACTTTGAAGGTGGCATTTTGGGTTTTTTGCCCCCCAAGCATTTGAGAGCAGCATTGAGTCAACTCTGTATAAAACGTTTTACATACCTTATACTAAGGATAAAAAGCTACTTCAGAGATTTTGATTTTAAATTTGAAACCGAGCAAAACTGATGGCTTAAGAGACCCAAGAAAACCCATAGAATGACAATGGTTTGGGTTGGAAGAGACCTTAAAGATCATCTAGTTCCAACCCCCCTGACATTGGCAGGGACACCTTCCACTAGAAAAGGTTGCTCAAAGCCCCATCTAACCTGGCCTTGAACACTTTCAACAACACATCTTGCCTGCTGCACATCTACTTGATCTAACACGTCCATTGTGTTGTGCTATTGTAACCACTATACTGAGCCATGAGAAGTGGTGTATTCAATAATGACTTTTGCTGACAAGTCCTTTTTTATTCCTGGAACAGGAGGATACGGCAGGTTTCATTCTGTTTTCTGCATAATTTAAAGTGCTACTTACTCCTTGTGCTGCATACAGCAGTTTGGCTAAAATACTTCCATGAAATACATAATGATACAGTTTCTTCCCATGAAAATATCTCCCTTCATGATGATGTAGGCTTAAAGGTTCCTTTGAGCCTTATGTTTACGAGAAGGAGATTTGCAACTTTCTGTAAGACTTCCTTGTTAAAGAAACTCAGGTGTGTTACAGATTTATTTACTAGGGTGACTTTTTAAAATGTAGACTTAGCTATTTCTGTAGGATATTGAGGACAGTAAAATTTTTATTACATTGTGGACTTTAGCCTTTTTTGTAAGATGGAGGGGGTAAACATTTCTATTTCAGTTCCAAGAAGTAATAAAGTGTTTAATTGCCATAGCAGATACCTGAGATGGGCTAAGTAAGCTTCTTTCCGAAGTGTTCTGGCTGTATTGGTCAAAGTACAGGAAGATATCTAACTACCTGAAGTTGCGTGTGCAGTAAAATCAGGAAGAATGCAGAGTTAAAACTCCTGAAACTCTCACCAACTTACCTTTCTGTTCTCAGTTAACTTCAGTTCAGCAAGTCTTAATCTTGTGGGAACTTACTGAGACAAATTCTACAGCTACTTGAGCACAGGAATAGTTTCCTTATTTTAGTTCCAGTCAATTTTAAAGTTGTAATCTGCAGTCACTGTCTTTATGCATCTTAAATATGGCACAAACAGTGATGCTCTTAAATGACTTAGAAGAAACACTGACTCTCTGGCTTCTTTCTGAAAACTTTCTGATTTTTTTTTTCAAGTGTTTTCATTTACTTTTTTTTTAAATAGAATGAGTTGTTTTTGTCCTAGGAGTGAGGGAATATAGACATAATGTATTAATCCGATGAGGAAAGAAATTTTCTCAGCACTTGGGTAGTACCATCTTTCTACTTATCATTTGCAGGTGGAATAATAGCTCCCAAATTTCATCATTAGGGAAGAAACTTTCAAATTGCAAATAGAACTGACAGTTCATACAGTTTAACACTTAAAAGAAAAAATTAGGAATAAGAGAAGGGAACATGCATCTTGCTTTATTTTGAACAATGGAGTGTTGAAAAGATTTCTGAGATCAACACTTAAGAGTTCTAAAATTCCAGAACCAAATACCCACAGAATTTAAGGAGCTTCTGAAGTTCTGGCCCTTATTATGATACTAAAATTTACATCCAATATCTGAGCATTCATAAGTTTTTGAGAGAGTCTGGCTCTGAACTTTTTGCCATGACCTTATTTAGCTATTTGTCCAAGCAATGGAATACATGACTTGAATAGACTTTACAGAGAGCTAGAGCAAAATGATAATCAGTTCACTTTTCAGTCTTTCAATACATGCATTTTCAGTTTTGTCATGTAAAAAGCTGAATAAATAGAAAGCAATTAATAGCAACAAAGATGTAGTTTTACAGTTTACTTTATGATCTGTGGACAGTCACTCCAGGCTTTTGCTTTCCTCTTGGCTAACGCAAGCCAGGCTGGTTCTGTTGACACAGGGTTAGCATCAGGTGTAGAGAATCTCTTGGCCACCTCCTTTGCCAGTGGGGTTGACGGAACAGAATCTGAAATTTCCACTGGTTTTGATGGGATGGAAAGATAAAAAAAGCATTAGTTGAACCCTGTGCTTTGTCGCAGCATACTAGAGATTTCACTTCTTTTCTATGCACATGTTCTAACACTTCATATGTATTTCCAACCCTTTTAATTTAAATCTTACTTTTCATTATAGTTGCAGAATAATCAAGTTAGGAGGAACCGAGTTTCCTTTTTCAGAATGGGGTCCAAGTAAGGTAACTCACAATAGTAGGAGCAAAATTTTCAGTCTCTGTGAGATTCAAAGAAAACATTTCCAGTTTGCCAGTTGTTGTCTTTATATAAGCTATTTTAATTACATCTGCAATGTAATGAACAATGGGAAATAAAGATAGATATTTTCCTTTTGGTAATGCAGCTGCTGAACACGTTATACTGAATGCAGTAAGCCAACTGTATTCAGGAGGATTTAGATTTCTTCTTCCGATTAGGGTTCTTAAATAAGCACAGAGAAGAAAGCAGTCCTATAGCTCCCTGCCTCAGTTAACCACGCCTATGAGACTATCCTGAAGAATAAATAAACCAGGTTTTTCCCACAGCTGTTTGTCACATTTTCTTGAAAATACTGTGTTTAAGGCAAACAGCTGTCTCAGCAAGAAAATGTGTTGAATGAGCAACTGATCTCTATCTAACAAGCAACGTAACGGAGCAGAACTGTAGAAGTCTATTGTAGAAGTCAGGTGAGAAAGATTGTTTAATTCTGAGAAAGTGAATACCCTTGAAGGTAACCTGGCTAGGTATAAGCCCTATCTGAAACCTGTAGTGTAACTCTAAAAATCTAAAGTTACAAAGTAACTCCTCACTAATTCCCCCCACACCCACACCCACACTTTTTCCTTTTTATGAGCCAAAAGCTTTTTTTTTTGTTTAATGTGCAGATTCAGTCCAAATGACTTCTGGTTGCATTTCTTTTTCAGGTTTTGAATGTTTTAAAATCGTTTAAAATTGCAGGGATGGCAAAAAACATTTCATTTTCTTTTAAATCCATCTTTAATCATGTATTTTTAGCTACTAGTAAATAAGCAGTAGCAGCAACTATTGCTGTAGACAGACACTTTGAAAAGCTGATTGTTTTAAATGTTATGGTAATTTATGCTATTTTAAAGGTTATACACTCTTACCAGTTTCTGTTGTACAAGACTCAAGTGCAAGTCTGAAATATACCAACTTCTTCAAGTTTTGGGTGCGTTTTTTTGATGTCCTTAGAGGAAGACTCTGCAAACTTTTATTTTAAACATGTCCTAGCCTGGACTTCTGCCTTAAATGCTCTCTTAAGTGTGGAAAACCCACATTGGTGTCATCATCTACAATAAACAAATACTTGTATATGTGCATAGCTGGTAATGGCTACCTGGCTCTAGATGTAGCCAGTAAATACACAGATACCCAATCACTATTTCCTTTAGGGCCAATACAGTTCCATGCTTTCACTTCATGTAATTCAAAATCAGTCATTCCTCCTGAAACTCTCACTCTAGTGCAGACAGACCAACCAAGGATAATGAGGGTTTAGCCCTTTTAAGATCTACCTTTAGTATACCTTGGATCTAACCTTTTGTATTATAGATCAGATAGATAAATAAATTACCTCATTGGTTTCAGTAGTTGCATTCCACAGTTCTTGGCTTGGAGTGGTACTGAATAGATTCAGCTGATACGTATCAGCTTCAATTCACTTTCAAAGAAGCCTACACTATTTACTGTGCAAATCTGAAAAAGGTTTCTTCAACACCTATCTGTAGTCTTGTTCAAAACCTTTTGCCTAGGATTAATGTTGGCTAGAGAAATATTAGACAAGTCTTTATTTCAACAGTCATCTTATACCATCCCAAGTATTATGCCATTTGGGGAAGTATTTATTTTAATGTGCATGCTTTTTGAATATGGAATTGTTTCAGCTTAGCTGAAGTGACAGATAAAACAGTAGGTTCTGGTTCCAACCTTCCTTACCAAGTCCTTGACTGGGATGGAGAAATCCAAAATTCAAAGTGACAGGCTACCTTTGCTTTTGATTAGGTAATTGATTAGGTTTTATATTTTTGAGTTGACCAAGAGTATTTGTTCCAAATATTCTCGGGTGAGTATTTCTTCTTGGCAGACTGGAAGGTGTAGGAACACACTATGCATCATTTCCCACAATAATACACTTCGTAGCAGTTAAGTATCATCCCCCCTCTGCTAAACGCCTACCTAAAGCCAAAACAATACTGCAGTCGCAACTTACAGTAAATAAAATCCCTCTAATGTGCATTGGTCATGTTCCAAAAATACTGTTGGATATGGCCTGGGGGAGGCTGCCTAATTTTTTTAACCTGCACTGGGGCAATTCTAAGGAAATGCAGTAATGCAGCCTTAATAATCCGTGGAGCCTTGTAAAAACCTGTTAAAATTATGTTCTTCTTGCATAATGGCCAGCACATGAGACAGGGACAAGTTGTGGTGTTCTGGGCTGAAAGCAAATGTGTTTGTAATTTTAGGGATAATATATGAGGGGGGAAGATATCATTCATTCACTTTCTCAGAAACATGCAATACCATTTCTGTAACACATTATTCCCAGAGTAAAAGTGAATCTGTTACTGTACCTGTCACAGAAGTTGGAAGGGTGTTTGACTTTTTTAGCTGCTCCCTTCTTTCTAGCCTTGACACAGCAGTCTCAATTTTCTTCTCCCCTTCTTGAGTTGTAGATTTCTGCAGTGTGCTTGTTTTGCTGCTGCTGCTTTTATTATCTGACTGATTACTTAGAGCAGCCTAGAAAAGAAAGGAAAAACTGCTAAATGAGAAACTCTCATGTAATGGCTACAAGTAAGAGATGTCATACTTGATGCTTTTATTCAAGACCTGTCCTTTCTTTAAACTTCCTTTTCAGCAAAGGATCAAAAAGACTCTCATACTTATAAAAGTAACAGTTATTAGAGACTGTAAAAAACAACAACAAACAAACAAAACCCCAACCCACGGTTATATTTGTCATGTTGTCATTTCAGTCAAAATATTGAACAGTTTGAGCCAGCTGTACCTGTTAAAGACAACACTGAAACACAGTGTGCACCTATGGGCAACTTCACACCCACTGCTGGTTTATTCCACCAGTTATCTGTGTCTGCAATTTGGACATGTCCTTCAGAAATTTGGATCTCATAAAAACATCAAAATATACTTAGTTATCAACATAATCTCCCTTTTTACTATCTGTGGTATCTATACACAGCATCGCTATTTGTGTAGCATCACTTCTCTGCTGTAAGTGGAAGTGTTTTTCTTACTAATAAAAAAACCACGGGAAGTAAACAGCTATTTGGAGAACAGGAAGAAGTAATAGTTGAATTCAGTGCTTGCTTTAGGCATTTGGATGTGTCACAAGATGGCTCATTTCAATCATCTGCATTTTATCCAAATAATAGGTTACAATAAAAATAAATTTAAGCTTACTAATATTCACCTATAAATGAGTAATCTAGCGGTTATTCCCAAGCATTAAGGCTTAACATCTTATTTACTCAAGCTTTGAAAAAACCATGTTGCATACAATTTTTCTGTTCCATCACCTGCACAGTGGTTGTGCTTATGACTGCCATTAGCTAAAACCTGCTATTAAGGCATCAGAATTTATGTTAAAATTGGCACACTATTGCACAGTATTTTCTCCCAGAGGTCCCGGTTTTGAAGGGAACTCCAAACTTTGGGACTACCTTTTTTTCCTTACTGTCATTTTAGCTTTTATGAAATCTTACAAACCAAGCTTCAAAAATAAAAACAACCCCCTTTCACATAATAAAACTAGCTAACAGTTATAATTATGGTATCAGTGTTTCTAATGAGCAGGTTTCTAAAGATTGTTTACATTTTCTTTAGCCAGCTTCTCTGCTTGCTTTGCTTCTCTGGCTTGTCTCCTCTCTTCCCTTGTAGCTTGCTGCTCACGAAATCCCTTTTGCTTCTGCAGCGCTAATGTAATCCAAAGCGGTTGTGAAGTTTCAACTTTTTCCATCAGCTTAGAGCCATCTAAAGAGTGCCTGCTCTGGAGGACGGGCTTTTCTGAAAGAAAACATGACAAGAATGGGTTGAGCAATGCACATCTCTCAAGCAAACCCATACAGCTACTCTACCTTGTGAAGACACTGGAGCTAAGCCCATAGAATGCCATGCCATTCACAGACCCACATGGACACTAAGGCAAATCCCAAAACAATTTTTATGCCCCAAGAACAACTCCTAATTCAACACACTCATACTGCTGTCCAGATTTATCTTTCTTTGTGTGTGAAAAACCCTACCTCAGACACTTAGACTTACGGCCTTATTTACTATAAACGTTTGCACAGTGTGAGATATTTAAGTGGAAGTGATACATATGCACTGCTTGTTTATAACTCTGATGAAAAGGACCCAGCCACTATATAGGTACTTCATTTCCCTGGTTTTCCAGCCATAATCAAGGGAAGAAGAGTATCCAAACTTCAGCCAAAAGAAGGGGGCTGAAATTATGTACTCCTGTGCAGGGGCTTTTAAAAAAGGGGGGGGGGTGGTAGTGGTGGTGTGATGTTTAAATTGTTACATGAGCATTTGACTTTCTGTACCCTGCATGGAACTGGGACTAGAACAGTATAGATCTGTGAGCGGCAGGGAGCAGCACCGAGGTGCAAAGGTGCACAGTGAGCACTGAAGCCCTCATCTTCGGTTGTTCTCCCAGGCCAGCAGCTGTGCCTCCAACTACTTTCCATAAATCCTCATTTAGAAATGAAAGTGAAAGGCAAACATGTAGAAATTGTAAAATAAAAAGCAGCAGTTCCACTGAGATATGGTTTTAGAAGTGTCTTAATGCTTGCAAAATTCAAGAACGGAAAATAACTGGGATTTCCCAATTAAATGCAGAATTCCTGCCTTGCTCTTTTGACTGTCCTTACACTGAAAGGGTAATTTTTCCTCTTCTTCTTACTATTGTGTTTTTTCCTCCAGCACAGAATATTATTTCAGAACAAAGGGGCTTTCGACCCTCCTCTGAAGAGCCACTATGGCTACTGTAATTGTTGCTATTACTGAAGAGTGCCTATGAAACACAGACTCCTGTGCTCAGCTATATTGGGTTAGATAGACAATTTGCCCAGAATAGGCACTATAAGGGGACCTAGATCTTGATATTTTCCACACTAGATAATATTCCCCTAAAAAATAGAAACAATATAATGTAAGTTATAAAACTTACTATCTCTGCTCTGATGACACCATTACACATCATAGAATCCTAGAATTCCAGGTTGGAAGGGATGTCAAGGATCACCTGGTCCAACTTTTCTTGGCAAAAGCACAAAGGGGGCCAGCACCCTGTCCAGCTGAATCTTAAATGTCCAATACTGGGGAGTTCACCAGTTCCCTGTGGAGATTATTCCAATGGCCAATTGTTCTCACTGTGGAAGCCCACAGAGTCTATCACTAACAAGCTATAATATCCTTACCAAGGAAAACACACACACTTCAGTTACCTCCTTGAAATTAATTCTCTTAAGCAGGTTGCACTGGCCACACTGAGTTTGTGTGTTTCTGAATGTGGGAATGGGAAGTCCCATTCATTCAGACAAGCCTCAGTGAAGTAGTGGTATTCCACAAATAACATGCCAGGTAAAAATTATAGCTTAAGACCAAATATCTTCCTGTGAATCTCCAGGATCTCATTTTGGAAATGCAGACAAAAGCTAAATGACTTTAAAAAACACATACCTTTCTTCAGTGGCTCCGGCTTTTTGTCATTTTTTTCTCTCCATGGAATACTTATAGATGGGAAAAACGACTTCTTTTCTCTGATTTCTTCCTCTTCGTTTTTGTTCTCATGGGATGGTGTGGGGTGCACTGCATTTCCTCTGTCTTCTTTTCTCCAGCCACCATCTGACTCAGCTTTAACCAGCCTTTGCCCTAGTGTATCAGCTAGGTTTGATCTGTTCATTTTAGAGAGAGGAGATGATGGTGGTGTCTGGCTGGTGGGCTTTGGAGCTAAAGCAGGTTTCTGTGGGACCGGTGACTTGCATGCTGGTTTCTCATGATGGGGTAAAGCACTCTGACCGGTGGCTGGCAGGACCACTGGTGTGCCTGCTGGATGTGAAATCTCTACCACAGTAACTGAAGAGTCTTTTGAGTCTTTTATATTAGCAGGGACATTTGCTCTCCCCATGCCAGGGGATGTACTCTCCTGCGGAGCAAAAACAGAGGATTCTTTCTCATCTTCTGTTGTAACTAAGGGGTCAGGCACACCATCAAAACTATCTCCTGCACTGTATCTTTTCTTTTTCCTCTGCTCTGCCTGTTGATCATAATTGAAACGTAAAGAGTAATTTGTCCTTCGTAACTTTATCCCAAAAGGAGAAACATTTTCTTCTCCATTTGGGGCTGGTTTATCTGCTTTTTTGGTGCTGTTACTCTGCTGATTTTCCAGAGGACCCTGAACTTCTGGCTGGGATACTTTACCTGGAGAATGAGGAAAACTTGGAACAAGGAAAGATGGAAGATCTTTTGCAAATTTACAGCCTTCTGTGTTGTCTGCCTTTTCTCTATGGGATTCCATTTTCTCCTTAGCTTTTTCAGCTAAGTTATCCTTAAGAGTGGGAGCCACATCCTCCTTTGAGTCAGTGGATGAGCCAGTGATTCTTCCCACAGCCACTGTTTCATTGCCTTTTGCCGCACTCACATTCTCAACATCTGAATTGGTTTTTGAAGCTTCTGAAAACTTCTGCCATGCAGGTGTTATGGAGAACTTTGCGTTAGCAGAGAGAGTCTTCCTCAAGTTGCCATGGGAAGCACCGCGTCCTCGGGGTGTCCAGTCATCACTGTGCCTGCAGACACTCACTCGGTCCCGCTCATTGTACTTGCTGTTTTCTGCATTCTTTAGGATTCTGGAGCGGATGGAGGCCCACTCAGCCAGCACAGCCTGACTGTTCAGTGTCTCTTGTGCGTATTTCAATTTGCTGCTGCTGGGTTTGGGATCCTGTTTTTTCTTCTGGGCCTTCTCTGGTGAAGGAATATCCACATTTTTTCTCTCTTCTGTTAAGCCAAGTAACGATTTACAAGCAGTGTCCTTTATCTGGTTCAAGTTAACTGCTGTGCCACACAGCTGTGCTCCAGTAACCAAAATAGCTGTATGGGGCACACACACAGATGAGGGGAGCGTATGAGAGCCCTTGCTGACAGTGTGCACCCTGGAGTCTTTAACGGATGGAGAAGAGAGTCCTGCTCCTTTGACAGGCATGACTGGACTCAGATTTACTTTCTGAAATATGATCTGTTTATCTCCAGAAGACACTTGAAACGTGAAAGGTCTGGATGCAGTTTGTCGTTCATCTACCTCTTGCCACCTAAGTTCTTCCCCTATTCGCTTTTGTTCCTGAGCCTCAACTTCTCTCTTCAGTTTCTGGGCTAGGACTTCTTCTGCTGTTTTATTCCCTTTTTCTGACTGCTTGAGTTTTGGGGATCTTGAGATTTCTTGGAGCTTCTCCTCTACCGGATGCCTATCAGCCCCTCCAGAACACAGCTGATCTTTGTCCTGTTGCTGTTGCAAGGATTTTTCTCGCTGGTGTTGCTGAAGATTTTGTCCATCTATGTCTACCTTCTGCTCTTCCACCTTGTTCCATTCTTGCTCATTTTGTTCCTTTTGCTGCTTTAGTTCATCCTGTTGCATACCCTCTGCACTTTCCATGTGCATTTGTTTTGTGAGTCTGTGTTTTCTATGTTCTTCCTGTTTCTTTTTCTTACCCATTACTTGCTGGGGTTGTTCCTTCTCTGTCTTTTCTCTTTTCTCCTTTAAGTGCTGCCTTTGTTCGTCTTGTTTCATTTGTTGTTTGAGGCTCTCGACTTCTTTCTCCTGCTTCAATTTTATTTCAGATTCTCTCTCTTCTAGCTCTTGTCTCTGGCTTTCTTCCTTATTTTGTTCCTTGGGTCCTTTTTGTTGCTGTAGCCAATTTCTTTCTTCTTCCTCTTGGCACTGTTTTTCAGTCTCATGTTGCCTTAATTCTTCTAGCTCTAGCCTCTTCCTCTCCTCCAGCTCTCTTCTCTGCTTCTCCTCCAGCTCCTTGCACCTCTGTTCTTCCTGTTCCTGGTGCTTCTGCTCCTCCAGTTCTCGTCTCTGTTGCTCATCCCTCTCCTGGTGCTTCTGCTCCTCCAGCTCTTGTGTCTTTTTCTCCTCCAGCTCTCTTGGTTTCTCCTCCAGCTCTCTTGGTTTCTCCTCCAGCTCTCTTGGTTTCTCCTCCAGCTCTCTTGGTTTCTCCTCCAGCTCTCTTGGTTTCTCCTCCAGCTCTCGTCTCTGTTGCTCATCCTCTTCCCAGCACTTCTGCTCCTCCAGCTCTTGTCTCTGTTGCTCCTCCAGCTCCCATCTCTGTTGCTCCTCTAGCTCCTTCTGCCTCTGCTTCTCCAGTTCCTGACACCTCTGTTCCTCCAGCTCTCGTCTCTGTTGCTTCTCCAGCTCGCGTCTCTGTTGCTCCTCCAGCTCTCGTCTCTGTTGTTCCTCCAGCTCCTTTTTCCTCTGCTTCTCCAGTTCCTGGCACCTCTGTTCCTCCAGCTCTCGTCTCTGTTGCTCCTCCAGCTCCTTTTTCCTCTGCTTCTCCAGTTCCTGGCACCTCTGTTCCTCCAGCTCTCGTCTCTGTTGCTCCTCCAGCTCCTTTTTCCTCTTCTTCTCCAGTTCTTGGCACCTCTGTTCCTCCAGCTCTTGTCTCTGTTCCTCCTCCCATTCCTGGTGCTTCTTCTTCTCCAGGTCTCGTCCCTGTTGCTCTTCCAACTCCTGCTTCTCCAGTTCCTCTTGCCTCTGCCCCTCCAGCTCTTGCCTCTTTTCAGCCTCCAGCAGTCTTGTCTCCTCTTTATGGCTTGTTTGCTCTTCTGCTTTCAAAAATGTCTCTCCTTCAAGAACATACTTCCTCCTCTCTTCTTCACACCTTCTCTCCTGCTCTTTCTGCATGTGCTCAAGTTCTTGGCACCTTTGTTCTTCCATCTCTCTTTGTTCCTCCATTTCTACAATCTGCCTTATCCTTTCGGCCTCAATGATCCCCCAGTGATCTTCAATTCTTTTCTCCTCTGCCAGCTGAAGCTGCTTCTGTTCATCTCTGTTCTGAATTAGCTTGTCTGCTATGATGTGTCCATTATAACCTGGGTATCTGTCTCCATACAGTGGCATGTCTAGGTCATCTGGTTCAAATTCTGTTATTGTTAAACTTTGTGATCCCTAAAATAGGAAGACAAGTTTGGAGTTACTGAATATCGCTTGTTGATTATTCTCTACAGTGAACAAAATCAGTTGCAAAGGTGAAACAACTTTTGGAGTTTGTTTGGGGGTTTTGTTTGTTTTGTTTTGTTTAAACAATGACTCAGATCCAGAGCCAACACACCCACCCCAATTCATGGATCATAGATGCCATGGCTCTCACCTATTCAAATTATAGCCTTTAAAAGAAAGAAAACATTCCAACAGTGATAACAGCATAACACTAAATACTGAATCATTGAATCATGGTGTACATGAGCTAATCCAGATTGAGACCTGACATTTCAAATTTACAGGAGCCCAAAGAATATGGCACAAGCTTCATATGCCTGTTTTGCTACATAGAACTGCATCCTTTAAGCCTGAAATAATTAGCTGTGCTTAAGGGCATTGTTTTGCCAGTTCTTTCATGGCAGATCTAGCTGCTACTTGCAGAGACAGAAGCTGTTGCCTGCAGAAAAGAGCTCTGTGATGCTAGCCAAGAAAGAACACTGCTCAGGGAAACACAATTTGGTTGCTTTTCACAAATCCTGAGCCAGTTTATCTTCCTCATTAGGTGTGCTGAGGCTCCAGTTCTATTGCATGAACCATGAGACCATGCATGGGCAGAGAACCTAGATCTTACTGGCAATACTGTGCTCTAGTAAGGCACAGGCTAGCTGCTAACTGATTCTCTGTGCTTGCCCCACAGCCCTGGCTTGTGGGTGCAATAACTGCAATGAACTGAATGCTGACTACCTTCGTAGGTTACTCCTTGTCTCTGTATTGACATGTAAGTCATTCTGTAAGATGATCTGCACCTGAAGACTCCTTCCCATCACTTTCCTTGAGGAAAACATATCAGCTAATGGCTTGTCTAGGTATCATTTGTTGAGCCATTATTTGGCTCCAGTTAAATATTCTGTATGAACAAGAGGCTTTAATTTAATTTCTTCATTGCAAGAATGATACATGCAAGTACAATGGTGTGGAAGAAAGGACTGGACTCTCTTGAACCCTGTATCAGTTGAACAGTCTTGTCCCATTTACAAGCATTAATAAGATGTCAGGATAAAAACCAAAATATCTACGCAGTAAGTGTTCAAAGCTAGAATCTGGTAACTTACCCTATAGCTGTAGCAAGAGCTGTGTTACTCAAGTCTTACTCTTTCTTACAAGACAATGATATTCTCACTGTCAGAACCCATGCCAGTTTTAGAGAACCTGGTTTTCCCCAAGCAAATTTTGCACTGTTTTCCTGCACCCAAAGAGAATTAGCAGTGGCAGATATCCTTCAGACCTTTATGCCCTTAAATTTTTACTATAAAAACTAGAACCATAAAGTTTTCCAAGTGTAAAATCCTAGTGGAAGTACTTCAGTTGTAAATAGTATTTGTCTCAACTGGCTATATTAAAACTTCTTGGCATCTTTTCTAACAGTGTTAGTCACATTTTAGGACAGTCCTCTGCCTATAGCTACTCCTGATACACTGTTACAGTTATATGGTACCCAGCTTCAAAAGTAGCTCCCCTCTTCTCCCTATTTGACCAGTGGTTCAATACCTTTGTTAATCTCTTGTGCTTCCTTGATATCTTCTGCTTTTTTGGCTTTACTGACAGCTTATGTTTAGCTGCACTGTTGTCTAGACGAGCAACAGCCTGAGGAACTGCATCCAAATTGATTGTTTCAATTGTGCCAGAACAGGAAAATTGTCTTTTTGGCCGAGATGATTTGACTGGAGTGACCTGTTTGTACCATAAACACACAAAGCTATTATTAAGTTATCTGTTTCATTTAAAGTAAATAAATAAATAAATAACACACACATACAAAAAGCCTTTGCCATTTTGAATTCAAAGGAGTTATTAGCAGAAAAGTTTTCATACTCCATTTTTCCATTATACAAGTCATGAACTTTGGACATGAAAGTCACAGCTGTAATGTTTTAGATTCCCAGGACTACACATTTTAATACCTTCCACTTAGAAATTACTTAGACCATTCTAAGTGGAGGTTTTTTCACAGTTTAGCTCCACTCTGAAGTTGTTTGGGATGGGAAGGGCAGAGGCAGAGTTTTAAGCAACATCAAACACTGGGACATTTTGAAATTTGCTTACTGTGGAAAAAATATCTCTATCTTTAAATAATTTAGATTATGCACTTTAGGCAAGAGCAAATCAGATTGACTTATCTAAGCAGTATAATAGAACAGCTACAGAGCTGTACTATCTGCATGGGAGATGACTGCGGTACTGGATCTCAGACTGGCACCGTGCCTGCAGAAAACCTTCCTTCCACAGTCATATGGAGCTGTCCAAGCTAGCACCGAAGGACAGCAAAAAATAAACTAAGGCAATACTGGCTTTGATTGGTTCTTTTTTTCTCTTGTCTTTTAAATATTTGGGTTCAGAAAGTGCAGATATGAGCAATGTGATTTAGTGAGACTCCTCTCATGAATAATACACTGGAACTGTACGTCTAGACATGCAAGTGAGCCTGTCATCAGTCTCTCCCGTAAGTCACTCAGCCACAGTCCTGAGTCTTGTATTTGGCACAGTCCAAGTAGAAAAAGAAGACAGAAAAAAAATAAAAGAAGAAAACATCTTCTGTAAGGAAAGAAAATCACATACATTGTTTTCAAGACAGCTCTGTAATCTTCTGAGGTTAAACATATGCTAATTGGGAAGCCAATTACTTAAAAGCTGATGGAACATTTTGCATATGCTTATTGAATTACATGTAGGCATAACAAAATAGTAGAAGTACTTATGAAAATTACGGCTCTATGATTAATACATCAAATACAGGAATGCTGCAAGACTGGCAGGGACTGCTGTTTCCTGCAATCAACTCTTACAGATTTCTCAATCTTAGTTATTGCTTATTATGAGCCCCCAAAGTGTGCAACCTTCACAAAACCTTGGATGATCAATGAGAGAATGAAACACGCATTAAAGCAACAACTGACTATCAGGCTTTTAATAACTAAAATTAGAAAGTAACTCAGTGCAAACCAAGTGTAAACATTTTTTTTTACCTTTTCTTCCAGTTCATACGCAGTTGCAGGCAAAGTCATCGTTCTCAAAAAAGCCGGAGTCTCATGAGACTAGAACACAAGATTACCACAGACAGACATTAAAATGTAAAAGATCTAATAAACATGCTTCAAAGGACTTATGAAAGCATGCATGTTAGGGTAGGATTTTTACCCTGTCTCTTGTATTGGGATTGATGGACACACAATTCTTGTTCCTAAATGCTGTGAGCTTATCTTTGCTGCTCCTTGAATCACTGCTTTCTACACAGAAGCAGTTGCTACTACAAGACACTACAAAGGGCATTAAACTCGTGTTTCCTTAACACAACAACCAGGTTCCAATTGAAAAGAAAGAGCACAGCTTTGTAGGATTTCAATCAGCTCTTACTAAGTTCATTTTTTCTGACCTGCACCTAAAGAAAAAATCATGGGGACCTCATCAGACATTACTTCTGCTACAAGTTTCAACTCCAGGTTCTTGATGTCTCCTCTTCTTACAAAGCAAACCAGCCCCCCTCCCATCAACTGAAGCCTGTCATTCACTGTGAATCCTTAGCTGCCCTCCCTCTCCAAGCCATCTCACAGAAGGTGATTTTTAAGGCACAGGGGTTGAAGCAGCATTCATTATGCCCAGGAACACCGGTTTTAATCATTATATCGTGGTTCATAACTTAATGAAGGATGTGAACCAATTACACCAGGCATACATGATTGTTGGTATAAAGCCTAAAATGCCAGCTTTACAAGTACAGGTTAGGTGAAACCCAGAGCTCTTGCCATTGATCCAAGTTACTCAGGAAAATCCTAAGTCACAAAGCAACACAGGAAACCTGTTTGAAGCAGAGCAGTGCTATGTGGTCCTGGCCACCAGCTCCCAACAGAAGCTACCCCATCCTCTCAGGACCTATGCAGATAAACACACAGAGGAGTTACAAGGCCAATAGCAGAGACAGGAGCAGAAACCAGGGAAGCTGCTGTGCACCAGAAATCTCTGATAAAGCAAGTAATGAGTAGTGCAAGGAAAGAGAAAGGAAAGTACTGAGTGCTCTGGCTGACCCTATACACGCAGTGTTGGTTTGTCTGTGTCTGCAGCCTCCTCTGAGTAGGGATGTTTGCTCCTTCAGTATTTGGGAAAAGAATTATGCAAAGGAACATTCATTTTGTTTTTAAATAAAGACTAGGTGGTAAGGACTGCCTCCTTTCTCATTACACAAAGATACTCCAGTGGATTTTTAGTGCTTGAATGAGTTTCTCCTTCCAGCTGGAGGTCAGTAGGTGATCGGTCTCCTGCAGGACCCAGCAAGAAGTCTGTCTGCAGAGAATCTGTGTTGGTGTCAAACATAGTAAGTACCCTGGCCTAATACCAGGGTACATAGCCAAAACCTGTCTGCAGCCCCACTGCACTCTGTTCTCTGAGATGCACAGGGTGCTGTCGATACAGCTTAACTGATTGTTTCAGAAGAGAGTAGTTGTGAAGCAGAAAATGTATATTTTACTTTGGCTTCATTTTTGTCCTTTCAGACTGCTGAAAGGTGTGAGTGTGCAGGTCCAGCCTGAATGCCTGGCTCCCTGACATGTCTGACCACAGCCATGAAGGAAGTGGTCACAGGGGAGCTATGTTTCCCCTTAAAGAGGGATGAAGAATTTAGGCCACCTCAGCCATAAGTCTCCCTTTTGTGTGTATAGGCATGAGCTGCAGAGGACAGTTACTGCCTCTGCTTTTCACACAGCTAGCACTAGTGTTAGGAAACTGGAGTGGAGGCTCACGTCCCAGTACCCCTCCAGGATCTCAAGGGCTGCATGTACATTGTGAGTTGCTGCGTGCCTTTCCCAGAGATACCCAGGCACAAAGTCAGCCTCCTCCAGGCAGGGAAGGATGTCCCTCTGCGCCCTGCGCTCCTGTCACCCATTACAGTGACACACAGAACCAGTTTTGCTTGGAGGATTTCCAGAGAGCTTCTGTCACTTATAATGTATCTTTGCTGTCTGAACAAGACCTTTCTGGATGCCTGAATGTCCATAATTCCTGGTATCAAAACCTTCACGATAATTCAAATAGTTATTTGAATTACACTGGACACTGGGGTTTAGGGAGCATTCTCAAAATGTTTCTCCCCTTTCTTTGTTTTTGGTTCCTATCCATGAGAAATATGGATATTTACCCTAAGGCCCAGGATCTTACAGGTTTAAGCTCCAGGCCCCTCCCTTTTTGGAATGATTTCCCTTTTTGCTGTTTGATGCTGTGCACAGCTTTCCATGCTGGGAAATCAATATTTCAGGACATTTTCTGTCTCAAAATTTCCCGCCATATAGCTACACTGCGAGAGACGTGATACACTGCATTGTTGACAGGTCAGAGCAGACATGCAAACCGGTATTTGTCAGACCCGGCTTAGAATGCCAAGAGCACACACTCCTCACCAGTCCAAGAAGCACAAGCTGAAAGACTACCCACGTAAAACAGCCTGCTGAGTTCTGCTACGCTTTGCTGGAGACATCTGCTACGCCCCAATGATCTTTACTGTTCTAGTGCTGCTATAATGCCATGAACACATCGATTTAAAGTGCTTACTTTTTTACCACTGTCTGAGATCACTGTGCTCTGCTGAGTCTCAAGCTCCATGGGGCTACCAAGCAATGCATCCTCTTCCATACTAGCATTTGCTTCCCCCATTGTCCTTACAGAAATTGTCATTTGTGGAGGCTGCCCAAATTTTATATTCTTGGCCAACTGTTGCTGAAAAACAAGAAAAGAAAAAACAACATAAAAAGGTATGTATATTATGAACAAAACAAGCCAAGTCTAGCACACACTCCTCCTCCACCTGAAAGCTTTCAGACTCTGGGCAAAGAAATCAACTTCAGTTTTATATTGCTGCAACATGATGGGCACCCCGAGTTCATCCTCCCTGCAAAGTGACCAAGGTCAAGAATTTACCGCATAATTTCCGATTTTGGTTGATCAACTTGAGCTCTTGTCAGTGTTGCCAACTTTGGCAAACTTCCTGTCAATTCTGAAACTTACCTTCTCTTCCTTTAGATCTATGTCCTAGCTTAAGACTTTGTTTACAAAAGCTAGTTATGAAAGCTTAACATTACAGAGAAATAAGATTATGAGCCAAGTGTACACTGAGAAACTACAACTGCCCTAAAAGCCACTTTTCTTCACCCCCCAAATCCTGCACCTCATGCAACTGTAGCTCCTAAAGATATCCTTATTGTAATGTTTAGTTCTAAATGTTAAGAGTTTGGTTTAGCCCTACCTTAGAGGAGGCAAATTCTCAAAGGAGGGGAAACCCAGCTTCTTTTAGATGCCTGATCTCATAGGAACAACACAGAAATTCATGTCTGCTCATGTTCATGTGCACTGCCACACCACTGCTTTTGCACAAAGAAGTTTATGGACGGGACATGCAGTAGATGAATGGATTAAAGAGCTTTTCCACCATTTAGTTTCCTCTTTGAAGTAATCTTCTCTTAAGGGTCACAAGAAAGTACTCTCAAATTATATCAAGCCTAAAATGAGTAAATTAAGTAGCATATAGTATCTGTCTTCTGATGGGGTAAATGAGAGAAATTACAGCCCTGACTACTGCAGAGTCATACCACAGTCTTTGAAAGTGAACTTTTCGTAAAAGAATTAGAAGAAATTCTCTAGAAGAAGCAAATGGAGTGAGGGACATTTACTGATAGATTATCTTCCTGAAATACTTCAGGGAATCATTCTCAGTTAGGAAGGCAGGCACTGTGGAGTTATTTTACTCATTTACTCTCTTTCAAACACAGAAAATTCTCCAAATGAGATTTTCCATTCCTGTCTTGTATTACTATGAACAGCTACAGCTCAGCGATACTCCATTCAACTGTGCAGCTTCTATTCAGTGGAAACGTCAGGTACGCACATGGACCCCTGACATGAGTTTGCCACTGAGAACTGCGGAACACTGGAGCAGAAAGCATGTAAAACAAAGATTATATTTTTCCCTATAACACTGAATCAGTAGCTTGGCTTAGGTGAGCTGTTGGCAAGGGAAGATATGCTTTAGTAGCAATGGATGGACTTCTAAAAGGATTCAGGTCAGATCAGTCTTAGTCGCCATCATCGCCCAGTGGACTAGACTCTTACATAAAGGTTATCCATATTACCCCAAAATATTACCAGATTTCTGTCTTGAGACAGATTTCTGTATTGAGAACTATTAAGACAAAAAAGTACATGTAAAGACTCCTTAGATCAGGTTATTAAATTAGTTTTTCTCAGTTCTCTCATTGAATTGCACATTACTTGTGCCCATTTGGATTTTAGCAGAAAGTAACGAAATTCATATAGTACCTAATTTTGGCATAATGGGCAGTTATGAATGGTAAAGATTTATTCCTGCCTAGATTACTGTCAGTGCACTCATAGTCTAAGGGCAAGGGTTTCACCAAGTCTTCCTAGGCTTTCATGTTAGCAGTGCACCTCTCTGACTTGAAATTTTATGTTTCCACTGTGTAAATAGGACCCGGAGAGAGCAATAGATCTATACTAGATAGTGTGATGGCTGTAATCCTGCTCTATTTCTGCAGGTCCACTGATGATAGTAGAAAATTACTTCAGAAAAGCTTCCATTTGATAACATATTCTCTAAGTTGCGGCTGCTCCTTTCTTCTTCTTCAAATCATATTCCTAGTTCTCCTAGACAAAAAAACTGGAACTGTCTGCATTTCTTGAGCCACTACCCAAGTAACTAAGGATTCATGAATCTGTTCCAAGGTGAGAACATGCACACATGTACATACTGTTTGCAACGTGTTTCGGAAGAGGAGATGATGTGTTATTCTCTTGATCTTCTGATCAAGTTCTTGATCTAGTTCATGTGCAATGTGTGGTGGGAGCTGTGTGGTGAGGGAGCTATTGTGGAGAATGGTCTGTGCTTGAAAAAGAATGGCCATTTTAATAGTCATCAAGGATGCTTAATTGTCATCAAGAGGACTTTGCTGTAAAATTGCGTATTTGTGTACATAAAAGTTTCAAACGTTATTTTGCTGCTATTTCCAGGCAATAGATCGCCCTCAATATTTACGGACAGTACACAGCTGTTTGTGTGCTTTTGCTTCATTTTAAAGTAATTTTAAAATTACTTCAAAGTTTTAAGAATTTATTTGCTCAAACCAGAATAAATTAGCTCGAAGACTGAAGAAGACACTCCAGTAGCCCTCACATTCCTTCCAGGACTAAAGGCTCTTCTCTGTATGACCTTTTTTTGGCCTTTTTTGAAGAAATGTAGCTTACAAAAAAGCTGCACTGATAGTTCTCTGCTGACCATTTTCTTTCAGTACATTCTAATCCCTAAAGCTGATGCTGAATAACAGATACTAGAATTTCAAATAGCGGAGAAAATTTGTTCTCATTGCTTTCATAGAGCTATGTGAAACCTGCTCCTTGTTCTTCTGAAAAATGTTTTTGTACTGTAGAATCATAGAATAGTTAGGGTTGGAAAGGACCTTAAGATCATCAAGTTCCAACCCCCCTGCCATGGGCAGGGACACCTTGCTCTAAACCATATCACCCAAGGCCTCGTCCAACCTGTAACTATGGTGCAATTATCCTCTCTCCGAAAAAATTTATACAGAAGCATTCTCTACCTGGTCAATCATAAAAACCCTAAAAATGGAAATTCTCCAAAAACAAGAAACACCCCCAGCTCTTACTTGGAAGAGCACACACAGACACTGCAACACAAGAGATGGAGATACATCTGCTGCAAGACCACTGAGAAGAGGCCATATTCCCTGAAAAGGAGCACCTGCTTTGAATTTCTCAAACGTTTCAGACAAACACAGATTTCTGAACATAAAACTATGAATCCTGTGTACCTGAGAATTCCCCGTGCCGACAGCACGTGGGTGACAGCTGCCTAAGGAGGATTATTTGCTACGCATGGCTACCACATATGACCGTTATACCATGAAACAGCAGCTGGAGGAAGAGCACACAGGGGAGCTTCAGAATGGGATCATCAAGCTGTGCTCCAGACCAGGTTTACCTCATCCCCCAATTTTTTTTCTATAGATTCAGGAGGTGCATAAGTTTCTCTGTATATACCCAAATCGTGCGGCTAACAGTGAGATGCCATTCAGTGTGAAGTGAGGGGCAGAGCTGCACTCCTAATAAAGGCAAAGGAATACTAGGAATTTAGGAAAAGAAACCCAAAGTTTGCACTCATCCAATTTACAGGATCTCCCTCAGTAAGGGGATCATGACATGGGCCCACTTTTATTTCATGCAAAATAATTTGCTAAAATGTGATACAAGCTTACCATAAATAGTTTCAGAAATCAGACTCCTAGGTTAAACCACTCTGCATTGGTTGGCACCTGCAGCAAATTGAAAAGCTTAGACTTTCAAAGCACTCTTTGTGTTTGCATAGGAAATGCCACAGAACAAACTTTCCGTATTTACCGGCAGAGAGCCCAGATCAGGCTGTACATCTCCTGTTTCATTCCAATTTGGCTGCTTTTCTGTGTACATGCCTGCTTGCACGCATGTGGGATTCGGCCTCCTGAAACCACATCATTCTTATGACTCTGTGCCTGGAGTGAATCCAAAACCGGATCCACTGAGCTGTTGGCTCTGTTCAGTTAAAAATCGTTAAAACAGAGTGTATATTTCAGCCAATTCCATTCAAACAAGTCTTTAAGAACTGCTGATTGTATTTTGTTTTCAACTCAGATGTGTATTTTTTATGTCTGTTTGCAATGCCCAGATAAAAAAAATAAATGAAATTATGTTTTTTAGTCATGTATAATTGTGAAATCGTGACATATCAGTAATACTTGTCCTAAGAGCCATACTGTTGAAATTCCACTTCTGCTTGTACAGTCCCTCACAGTGACCCAAAAATCAAATGCCTTGGGAATACACAAGAAGAAGGCAAGTCCGTACTGAGATTTGCCTTGTGGCCTCTGAGGACTTTTGGAGCCAATAGCCAGTTGAGAACTTTATGTTTCATGAATAACAGTGCTGTATGACAATGGGTTCTGCAGTCCAACTAAGCGTAAAGAAATGTTTGTTTTCATTTAAAAGTGTTACTAGTTTCAACTGATGCTCACATTTCTCATGCTGTGAAAGACTGAATGATTGTTCTCTATTCATTTTCTCAATTCCACTCATGATTTCAGGCATCTCTATCATATTTTCTCTCTTATAATTTCTTCTCTTGGCTGAAAAGACAGCTTACCTAATTGTTCTTTCTGTGGAAGTGAGCCCACTTCTTTATCCAAACAAAAAAATCTGTAGCACATTGAAATGAGCAAAACACCCCCCATAAGCTTTTTTTCCCCCCTGTTGCTGTCAAAGAGAGAGAATAAACTGGAAAGTATAATGTAATATTAGAAGTTATACTGGAATAGCTGGAGGCTTTAGAAAGTGGACTAGAAGTAAAATTAACATGTAAAATTACTGAAAAGAAGGGAAATAAGAAAGTATTACCACAGATATTTTGGATATAAGATGCAGGGAGGGAACTATTCCACTTTTCACTGCTGAAGCAGCATGTGTTTTGTGGTTTTACGCTTCAAGAAAGATTTTGGGAGTATCCAAAATAGAAGAAAGCTGAAGAAGTGACCTGTAAATGGCTCTCTAGAGGTATGTGCTTGCGGCAAATCCAGATGCAAATGGAGATTTTGGTATACGGTGGCAATGGACCACTTACAGTTGCTCATTTGTTAAGAGCAAGACTTTCTGGAGAAGCCTGAAGGTATTTATAGCATCTGTAGTATTTCTCACCTGAGTCTCTCCTTACAGACTTCCAAAAGCAAAGAAGATGCAAGTAAGAAAAATGGAAGCTCATTTACAGGCCTTACTGTATCATGGGAAAAAGGAGCTCTGACCCAGAAATGCTATAATGATTAAGGAAAAAAAAAAAAAGAAGATAAATTCAGTTTATAAACTTAAAACAATTGCCAAATATGAAGAAAACAGGCTGCAGTGGCACTAGAAGTTATTTACAACAAAGAAATTAACTGCAAGAAATAAAAAGCTGAGCAATCACACGTTGAAAATTCACTCCCAATTCCATAAAATGCAGAGCATGGAGTTAAGAGATAATAGCTTTGAGGTTTTGTAAATGATTTTGTAGCCTTGTTAAGATGTGGGTAATATCAAACAGAAACAAGAGGAATGGCTGGTAGAATACAGATGTGCAATGCACAGTAGGGGAAGCACCAGCTTGATCATAAGCTAAGATACGTTAATGACTACGTGAAATGGCATCCAAAACTAAACAGCCATTAGGTCTCACAGGAAGAAAATGACTGGGGACATTCATCATTTCAAAGACAGGGAAATGGGAATTTAAAAAGTGGTCTTTTATAGTTTGACCAAGAAGTCTGGATTCCCAAGCCATGTTTTACCATAATTAATATCTGTGTAAGAAGTGGATGTTTTACAGATTTACAGAGCAGAGGGCTTGCTTGTTTTAAACCATGTGACCACACAAAACAGAGGTGATGTAGCCCAGTAGTTGCTAATGCAATAAGCCATATGCCATAGTCAACATTTAATGTTTCTTGAAGCTCACTGCCTCAGTCTCATGGGTACCAGGTGACCCAAGACACCTAACGTGAAGGCAAGAGGCAGAGAGCAAGCTGTCCCTGGCCTTGAGAGGCAGCAGCAGTGCCACACCACGCCACTGTCACAGAAAAAAGGGAGATAATGGCTTAGATGCATCAAGACACTGACGCTCAAACAAGTTTCCATTTTACATGCTACAGTTTTTCTGGGTCTGAAACAGCAACTCTTCTGTTAATTTGCTGACACTGTCCGGCAACTATCATTAGTAGAAAGAAGAGTCACAGCTGCAAAGTGCGAAGAAGTGGTTCTAACACACTTTGATGAAGTAAAAAACCAACCCACAAAGGGAAGGATGTAAGAACATACTCCCAGAGTTTCTTTCAGGTTAGTTCTTACACACTGCTACATTTACATTTTAAACATTCCTTGTGTATTATTCACAGTTCTGTATCCAGATCTCAAGCACCAGATCCCAAGAAAGAAAATTATTTCAGTGTTAAGAGTACCAATGCCTGGGTACCATCCCTTAACAGGTTCAGGCTGGCTTTCTACACCAGATCTTAAAAATTAGTTACATCTCAGCAGATCCAAAGGACAAGGAAAAGGCTGCTTTTACCAAGGCAGATGGCTTCAGATACACAAAAGCTATTGGATGTTAACAAGAAGTCAGGCTTTTCTCATCAGAAAGTAAGTGGTCTTTGTATCCAAAGGACACTGAAGCATTCTGCAAGACAGGTTTGACTACCTCTCGTCTTTGCCTAGTCAGCAGCCATTTAAAATACAATGGTTTCTAGCCTGGAAAGTACCATGCATCAAATCCACCTGACCCAGGGAAATTTAAGCTGAAAAACCAACACAGAGAAATTGGAGCTCTCCTAGTGTGATTTCTACTTTAAAGTATATCCACAGTCAGCACAGACAACACTGTTCAGGTGCTCTGTCTGCTGACAGCACTGGGGAAGAAGAAAGAACAATTTAATCCTCAAGGTTGGATCTGTCTACTGTGCATGATCTCTCACTCACCAGAAAAGACGGACCATCAGTAGACTTTGGAGGTAAAAGAAATCAGTGGTATTTTACTAGCTGGCTACAGGGTAACAGTGCTTGCACAGCATTAAGAATTTATCAGCATTTTGACAGGACATGCCAGCATCCTGAGCAATAAACTGAAACATGCTTCTGATGGACAGCTCTTTCAAGGTCTAGAAAGGCAAAAGGCATAGTGATGGGCATCTTACAGATGTACGAGAAGAAAAGCAAAAATTAGAACACTAATGGGACAGAGCTCTGGAAAAGGGAAAAGAGGTCATACAAAAGCTCTTTAGAAGCAAATACCTGAATGTGGTGTTTATGTATGTATGTGTTTGCTTTGGAGAGATACACATACACATCTTTCATGACAACCATTGAAAGGACAGGGAGAAAAATAAACGAACTATGATTCTATGATGATTATAACAGCTCTGCAAAGTTGTCTTGCTCTGCATGCCATTTGCTGCCACCAACACTACCCTCATTTTTTCACTCAGCACATCTGTAGGTCTCAGGCACATAGATCAGGACATGTCAAAACCATGAGTTCAATACAAATGAGTTCCACAAGATACAGCCATTTCTGCAGATTCGCTTGCAACATCCCTGAGGTACCCTTCAAGACCAAAACCTAGATCTGCTACAGTTTATCCAAATCATTTCCATGGGTTTTGGCCAGACAACTTAAATGGCTGAGAAACTGGCCCATGGCTACTGCAAAAGCAACCCGCATTTAACACATTCTGGAGACCATTTTCCACCACATTTTAAACATTTCTCCCACTTACAATTTCTTACCTGAAGAGTTTTGACTTTTCCTAAAACGTTCTCCTGTGACATTGCTTGGATGGCCTGTTCACCCTCTGCTCTCCCATCAGGTATAAAAACACTGTCATGGGAAAAAGCTCGACTGCCCATAGAATAGTGGGAGGACCTGAAAAAAATAGTTAAAAAGTAAATAAGCTCAGTGACTAATTTATGAGAGTGACTCTTGTCCTTGCTGTGTAGATTTTCCCTTCCTCTTGCCTGCTATATAAAAGCTTTGAACGTTCTCAGAAAAGAGGTATCCAAACACTTTCTATAATCAGAAGTTTAACGGAGGTACACAATGCCTTCACACGCAGTTTTCCTCCTTGGGAGGCCATAGAGTGGGGTGGTGTGATGAGAAGTAGGTGTGATGAGAAGTTAAATTAATTTTCTTTAGAAGTCTCAAACCTACATGTTACTTTTAGGGTGTAGATGGTGATGCATACATTACCAGACTGCATATTTAAGAAAGCTTCATTCATGCTTAGTCCCAATGCTTGGGACCTGCTGTCACTCTTAATTAAAAATGACAGAATATTCCAAGGAAAGGTACCTCTGTAACACAAAAAGAGGTAATAGAGTCTAATAACCTACTTCTAAACCTCATTTAGCTGATTATTTACCTGTTCCGATCACCAGTATGATCACACTGACAATTATATATTATCATCAAACCTCCAAACTGATAAGAAGCTTATTACATCCGCCCATGTGTGTTTGATTACAAACAAAGAGCAAGAGATGCCCATGTTTCACTGTTAAGGCAAATGCCAAGGAGGAGAGTGCGACACGAACGACCTAGTTATATGGCTCTGCTCTAAATCCACGGGCAAAGGGTGAAACAGAAAGTGTTTTCATTTACTGGAAAGTTTTAAGGCTCATCAATAAAACTGAGAATTTAAAAAAAAAAAAAAAAACAAAAAAGCAACTTTGTGGGTTGTTACTTTGGGATTTTGTGCCATTCTGGGGAAAAAATTTTGAGTTTGAAAGTCATGTTTTGTCTTGCCTAGAATATTTCACGAGTGGAAAGGCAGAGAAATACAGACATGATTAAAGACACAGTAGAAGGAAACCGAACAACTGAGAGGTCTTAAATCTCTCATTTTAATAACCTATTGGCACCTCTATGAAACCTATTTATAGCTTCAGTAAACAAACAATCTGGAGAAAAAAATAGATACTTTTTATACTGATCTAATCTGATGATGGTTGTGGTCAACCTTCTACATGTGATAAAAACAATATAAACAGATGCTTCAGCAAAAGCAAGGAAGAAGACACTTGCAGAGTGATAGGGAAGTAAAATAACAAGAAAAATGAAAGCCCCACATATGTAAGAAAATCAGTATCTTTCTCTCCCTATTAAAATGTACTAACTGTTTATAAAGTGTTCAAGAGATTTCTACTCTTACTTTGGAAAAAAAATGTTTGGAATGTATTTATTACATTTTTGTCTCATTTTTTCCTGGGATATGAACATAATCCTTTTAAGTACAACCAATAATCTCTTCTTACCAAGGAAGAAAGCTGCGTAGGGTTACATTAACCTTTAACTGATAGGCTACTTTTGAGTTTTATAACAAAATTTCCTACAGTAACCTGAAAATAATAGGAAAAAAAAACCAAACCCACAACCTCTCCCTCTTTCTAGTTCACATATGTAAACTACATTTGCACCCAGAAAATAAACGATCCAACCTTTGGTGGAGAACATGCTCAGATCTCTGTATCGTTTCATCCTTGATGCAATCACAGACTAACTGAAGAAATGTTTTTTATCCAGAGTTAGTATTAGGGCAACATGCTTCACTTGAAACTGTGATGGTGTTGGCTGGGGTAGAGTTAAGTTTCTTCATGTTATCTGGTATGGGGCTACATTTTGGATTTGTGCTGGAAACAGTGTTGATAACACAGGGATATTTTAGTTATTGCTGAGGAGTGCTTACACAGAGTCAAAGCCTTTTCTGCTCCTCACACTATCCAGCAGCGAGCAGGCTGTGGGTGCACAAGGAGTTGGGAAAGGACACATCCAGGACAGCTGAACTCAGCCGATCAGAGGGAACCCCCATATCATATGGCATGTTCAGCATATAAAGCTGAGGGCAGAAGGAGGAAGGGGGGGACTGTTCAGAGTGATGGTGTTTGTCTTTCCAAATAACCATTGTGAGTGATGGAGCCCTGCTGTCCTGGAGATGGCTGAACACTTGCCTGTGTTGGGAAGTGGTGAATGAATTCCTTGCTTTGTTGTGCCTGTGAGCAGCTTTCCCTTTCCCAATTAAACTGTCTTTATCTCAAAGCATGAGTTTTCTTTTACTCTTCTGATTCTCTCCCCATCCCACCAGGGGGGTGGTGAGCAAGCAGCTGCATGGGGCTTAGTTGCTGTTTGAGGTTAAACCAATGCAGAAACAAACCAGCACACAATCAAGGAAAGAGCTGGTCAATAATTCACAATGGTTTTAGTCATCAAAGAGGAGGACATTTAACAGATGCTGTATTCTATTTTAGTGGTTTGGGGTTTGGTTTTTTTAAATAAAAACAGCTTGATTGCCTTTGGCTGCTAAAGGTACTACAGCTTCTTTTAGAAACCTTTTATTAGAGGAACCATAAAAGTATATTTTTAAACTCTCTTCTAAAAAGGTTACTATTCAAAATAGTCATGATTCAGCCTGTACACAGAGCTGTGGTAAAATTACATGGCATTGGAATAGATCTACCTTATTCAGCCATCCAGGAATCTGCTCATGAACCACAGTTTGAGAAATTCCCCTTAAACAGAGACAAATTCCTAGCAGGCCTGACTTGCAAAATGAGCTGTTTGACATGAAGCTGACTAAAAGCTGTTTTTTTTTCATGTAACCATGTAGGTCTGTTAGAACTGAAAGCTCCAGCACTGCATTCAACAAAGGGAAAAAAGTCTGTTTTCACAGCCAGAACTGAGGGAAAGAGGCAAAATTTGACAAACCAGCGTATGCCAATCCCTCCTGCATTTGCATGCTTCAATGTGTGAAACTGCTGCAGGTGCAGAAGGCAAGGTCACTGAGAATTTATTCTTTACTATTTACCTTTGAGCTGAGAAATCTGCTGTGGATGCACAATCCAAGTCATATTGTGCTCCAGAGAGGATCTTCTCCCAAGCGTTTTTCCAGCAGTACTGTGGCTCAGATACCTGTGGCTTTGTTTCACAACTGCTCACCATGCTTATGACACCGTCCTCCCCTTTTACTGTCCAGTGGGTTGGTGTTTTCATACTTAAAACTGGACAGCTCATGTTTATTCCTATTATTTGTCACAAATAATTAGCAAGTAAATATTGTAATTCAGGCACCAAAGAGTTTGGTGACTTGTTTACAAGTCAGTTTTGACCTTACTAATGAATCTGTTAATATTTAAGTCAGGAACAGCCAACCTGCAGCTTTTGAACTGAACAGGGTTTGCTAGCAGTTGAAACCCCAAAATTTCAGCTGACCAGCAGCAGGGGTGCTCTGGCAGTAGGAACTGCCTCATAATCTGAGTCCCTGAAATGGAAGAAAAGTGCTGAGACATGGATGCACATGACTTCACCCATCGTGCTATAGAGCTGAGGATACTTTTAGTGATTTAGTCTCACCTCCTGCCTGTGAACTAATCCAGTGAATCTCCTGGCAGTTTGAGATACACAGTACACTGACTTTTGGCTATTGCAGATTTGGGTTTATGGAAAAGTGTGATGAGACTTGTTAAAATGTCATTTAAAGCTTCCTTTGGGACACCAGGTTATGTGAAACAGCTTGGGAGCTTCATATGACCTGTAATTAGAAGTGCATCACTGCTGAAAGCCAAACCGTATTTTGACAAGTGCCCACAATGGTATTGATGGCAGGTTAGGACCATGCTAAGCACTTTTGACCATGCTAAGCACATACAGCATTTCTCTTTTATGTTCTCCCATATAGGAACTGATTTCAGTTTAGGCACTTCCACGTTACACGGTATCACATCTCTTTGTTTTCATAGAGCTGAAGCAAAAAATATTTGAAAGCTTTTGTCCCGCTTTGCTTTCTTATTAACTTGCTTCCAAAACAAACATGCTCCAAACTGTCAGAATACATTAAACATTCAGAAGCAGCCCTGCAATTAATTAACCCAAGGCTTCTCTCTACCATATCCCCTTAAAATGCTTTGCAGATAGAGTGGATATGTCAGAACTGGATGACTGAGCATTCTTGCTAGCTACATGTCCAATAACCTGTTTTAAGAATTTTGCTTAAATGTCTGTGTAGGCTAAAGTACATTGGAAAAACATGTTCACACATTGTAGTAATCTAGTTTCTTTAACAGGTGAGTTTAAACACAGTTTAAGGTGATTTCCAGGCTACTTGAACTTTCTGAAAGGTCTCTTATTTTGCTTACCTGGAGCCCACAATCCTTCCAAATCTTCCCAGCTTTGAGTCTGACAGATAACGTCACAAAGGTCTTTTTCCCACCTCTTTTTTCACTCTCCTCATGTTCTACTTCCAGATAGACTGAATTTCTTTTAAGTCATAATACAGAATGAATAATTGAGTTGCCTTTACTGCTACCACCACTTCTACCTCCAAAGTGTTTCTCAGAAGCCTTTATACAATAACGTTCTCACAGTCCACATCTACAGACTGTGCTTCAGGAACTCTCCCCTCCGTTAAAAGTCACTTTGACATCAAGTATGGCTGTTAATAGATTGATGGTATGTCAGAGACCTGGGCTACAGACATAGCCATGGTTGAAGGTATTCCAGTCTCAAACTGCCGTATCACTTCCAGGAGATGTGGGAAAACAGGGCATCAGCTTATAAGCACTTCTGTTGATAATACTGATGATGACACTTCAGAGGCTGTTTGTGCTGAAAATAATTGAATCATCATCTGACTCACTTCCAGAAACCTGACTAAATTAAATGAATTATGGATGTGCTATACCAAAATACAAAGCACTTTAGAAAATCCTTAAGAATGTTCTCTCTGAAGGTGTGTTGCAACCCAAGTATCACATTCCAGTTTCAGTTTTAGTACACAAATATTCAAAACTAATTTTCTCCTACTCAAAGCAAAGTTAAATTCCATCTGCTCTGAGTTGTTTTTGCCACACCTGTGTCCCTATTCAGATTCCTGAAGACAGGTCAAA